GGTCTGTATGAGCTGATATTTCCTCTCAAATCCATATTTTTGATCTCCAATGTCTATAGTCCTAGGATGTTAAACTTCTTGTTTAGATCCCCCCACACACACTTTTTTTTTTTTTTGGTCATTCTGATAGCACTATTTTAACAGTGGTCCACTTTATGCTTTGAATTAGCCCTTGCTGCTCTGATACTGTGACTTGTTTTTAAAATGCACATATTTCTTTCTCTTCTTCTGTCCCTGCTCCTCCCTAATGTCTCCCCCTCCCTAATCTCAGGGGAAACTGTATTACCTTTCTTTTTTTGATATATTTTTTATTTGTTCTAATTATTTATATATGACGGTAGAATGCATTTTGACACATCATATATAAATGGAGTATAACTTCTCATTCTTCTGGTTGTACATGATGTAGAGTTATACAGGTCATGTAATCATATATGTGTAGAGGGTAATAGAGACAGGATTACCTTTCTTCCCCATCCTGGACAGAATTATCTGTCCTTGAGCACACACCCACCACAGGAACAAGTAATTCAGACTTCTGGGTGGCACCAGAAGGTCTTAGAAATTGAATTACAACTCCAACAAAGAACACATGGAATGTAGCCTTTGAACCACTTCTTTAAAAGCCTCCTGTTCCTGCTGATGGGCAGAATCACAGCCTCTGGGACAGGAGTCCCTGTGTTTCTCCTTTGCTTGCAAAGCAATAAACCTTCTTTTCCTTTTTCTCAAAACTGTATCCTCATTATTGGATTGGCATCCAGACAAGGACCAACCTTTCGGTAACACTATAGTGTTAGGACTGTAAGTCAAGGAAGTAGAATATGACCGGAATTGGTAAACCAGATAGACCTTTATCTCTGAGTTGGAAGAAAACTTGGGGATTAACACAAACAAAAAACTTGGAGATCAATACATTTTTTAAAATATAGGTGAGAAAAAAAATCAAAATCTAAAGAAAGGAAACGACTTGTCCAAAGGCACCCACAGCTTGTCAGTAGCACAGCCAGAACTAGAATCTAGGCCCTGCCACTGCACTGTGCTTCTCTCTGGTCACATGGTCCATGGATGAAATCTGCTGCTGAGAAATAAGTGTTCATTTCTTTTTCAGTCCTTCTTGAGTTCTTCAGCTCCAGGGGCTCTGGCCCACTTCCTTCTCCTTTCCTGGGCTGCCAGCTAAATCTCATTCTCTTGATCTTTGTCCTTGGTGACAATGTATAGCATGGAGCAAAAATAGCAGTTTGATTTTTTTTCCCACGTTCCAAGTTGAGCTTGAAGTGCTGGCAGTTTAAAACGAACTACACAAATAAATCTTGTTTTGACTCATAGTCCAGGGGGGTGGATAAATATGGAAACCCCCAAGATATAATTTTGCAGTCATTTTTTTTTTCTTAGCATAACAGCATACTTTAATGTGCTGAGAAATTTTTTTGTTCTGGCTCCAGAGAAATAACAGCACCATCCTAGCTAAGTGCTTTTTCATGCCTCCCAGCAAACAGATATTAACACACACACACACCCTACAACCACCAAATCCAGCAGCTGCACATCCTGAGCTGAATGCCAATCCTCTGCTCCACGTTGACAGCTCTTATTATTTAAAGTCAGAGATGGGTAATCTTTTGAATTTCAACATATCTGTCTTCCCAAAAACTCAAATTCAGAGAAAGGCAGCTAAAATGATCGAAGGTGTAGAGAGGCTTCTCTGTCAGAAAGTCCTAGAACAGAAGCCACCTCTAGAACTCTATTTTATAGATAGAGATTAGACTCAGAGGAGAGGAAGCATCAGACAAGTCACAAATGGCAGATCCCCAGTCTCCTGAGCGGAGGTTGTGTCTCTCTGGCTGAGGAGGAGCTAAGCTTTCTCATTCTGGCCTGTCATGCCCCTGAGATCTTTACTAGCATCCATAATGGTATCAACAACAGAGCTCACGTGGACCTGAAACTTGTTCACCAAAGCCCCATAGGCTTGAAGGAGGTACACTTTGGACCTTGAAAGGGAAGTGTGGGGCTGAAGGCATAGTTCAATGGTGGAGTGCTTGCATAGTATGCATAAAGCTCTGGGTTCTACCCTCAATGACAGTGGGGGGAAAAGGGGTGTTGGGTCATCTAATGGATAATTATGAACCTCATTATACCAAGTGGTAGACAGGTTGAAAACCTAGTTAGGAAAAAGAAAGGTATTATAGACATAGTTCAAGACCTTTGGACTTAAAGTTGAAGAGGGTCATGAGACACCCAGTCCTTCCCTATGCCTCTGGGTCAGAGACTAACCTCGGGCCAACGTGATGAGGACAGATTGCCTGAGATAACACACTCTCTGGCCTTATGTGTGTTCTCATTTATTTTCGCCGTTCTTTAGAGATGGACCGACTTCTCCTCTATCAGTGGCAGGCCATATAGCCACCAGAGGGAAGGAAGTGACTTGTCCAGAGCGCTTGCATAAGAGGAACAATGCAGAGAACAGAAACCACAGCTTCAGCTGGGTGCTGTGCTTCTTTTTCTGTTCCTTCTAAACTCTTATTTTTATATCTAGGAATTGCTTTTTTAAAAAAGAAGAAGGAGGCTGCCCCCTTTTTTCCCACAAGAGACAGCACTGCTGTTCATAATGCATAGGGCCCAGAATTTGGGCTTATGATTTGTGCCCTACATTGTCCCTTTTGGTCATTCAGTCTCCCCTTTGCAAGTGAGGAAACTGCAGCCATCACGCATGCCAAGTAATAACAAAAATGCAGGTTAGAATTCTACCCTGTGATTTTCAGTCTGATGCTCATCTTTTTAGAGAGTTTCCATGTCAAAAAACTCCACAAGCCTTAGTCATTCCTCACACATAAATCTACAAATATATCTTTCTCATGTGCTCTAAACAGCAAGCCTTTTGGCCCAGTTCCCTGTTTCCTCCTCTTTTCTTCCTTTTCAGTGAAAAACTCTTCACATAAGTATGCAGTTTCACGTACAGTTGGAGAATGGGGAGTATTCCCATTAACTAAAACTCTGGCTAATAGGGAGCCATCAAGTCTATATGCCATGAGTGTGTTACTCACTTTCAGATAATTGGAAGATGATACAATCTACTTGACATATCAACAACAGTGCACATAATCAAATTAATTAATTTATTTAGATTCTGGGGATTGAATCCAGGGATGCTTGATCACTAAGCTGTATCCTCAATACTTTTTTAAAATTTTCCGTTCCAAAACAGAGTCACACTAAGTTGCCTAGGCCTTGCTAAGTTGCCGAGGCTGGCCTCCCTCTTGCGATCCTCCCGCCTCAGACTCCCAGATCCCTGGGATTACAGACATGTGCCACCATGCCCAGCTTAATTTATTTTTGATGAATCAGAAGACACTGTAAGATCTTGAAGTGCCTTTGAGTCATCATTGTGCACATTAATTACCATCCTACCAATGGATGCCATTTTTAGAGAGTTCTATTTAGTAAGACACTAAGAGGCAGAGAGTTCATTGGAAGTAAGAATCTAGACAGAAAGGTGAGAGAATTGTGGAGCCATGTACTGAACAGTCCCCACAACTCAGTGACTTCATTGTCGAATGTTCTTCTGGTTTCTGTGAGCCTAATGTTCTCATTTAGTAAATGAGAATGTTTTTTCTTCTACTGCTGAACTGCAATAAAAACAAATCTACAGATTAAGGAAACACTGAGGCTTTAATTTGAAAGGTAATTGCATTTAAACTTAAAATAAGTATGCCTTTCAGATGGACTTTAGACATCTATTTGAAATGCAGCAGTAAAGTAGCTAAAGTATTAGCAAAACTGTAACTGCTTATAAGCTTCTGTTATCCTGTGGCCCCCTGTGTTTAGTAAAACATTTAGCTATGATGAATAACTATTYGTTACAAAATTATGATTAAAAGCCTCTAATTAAATATTTCACAAAGTAAAAATAACGACCTTCTTAAATGTGAACATTACCATATTTCCTCGATGAATAGCTGTAAGTCCTGGGGCCTTTGTTCTCATGCAGTATCCCCTCTCAAGGAAGGGCAGAGACCCCGGGAAGCAGGCCCCTGGCTGATGTGCCACAGTCAGTGCAGGAGTAAATAGAATCAACACCTTGAATGAACCCAAGAAGTGCCACTGAGGGGCGGCTTGGTGGTGCCGTGCCAGCCCTGAGTTCCATCGCCAGCATCAGCTGCTGTAGCCACATGGTTCTTTCTGGTGCAGAACTTTCTTTAGAACCACAGCACCCAGTGACATAGATCTGTAGTGCCCACCTCCAGTTAGGCACACGGCAGTCATTTTCGGAGCTCTATGGGCCCCATACATTGAGTCAGATTTGGATCCAACCCTCAGGGAGTTTAGGTATCAACAAGGTCTCTGGACATAACCACTTTTATTTTTCGGTACCAGGGATGGAACACAGGGGCACTTAATCACTGAGCCACATTCCCAGCCCATTTTTATATTTTATTTAGAGACAGGGTCTCACCGAGTTGCTTAGTGCCTCACTAAGTTGTTGAGGCTGGATTTGAACTTGCAATCTTCATGCTTCAGCCTCCTGAGGCACTGGGACTACAGGCGTGCATCAACACATCCGGCTGGACATACCACTTCTAATCAAAGCGGCCTGAAAAACAGACCCAAACCATGTTGATTGATTGCCTTGATCCATTTTGGCTCCTTAGACCAAGTTTGGTCACTTAGGAATGCCCTCGAGATGAGCCCTGGAAAGAACCTGCTGGCCATTCTTGTCAACACTCCCCTTGTCCCTCTGCCTCCCTTCAGCACACCTGGGAGCCCGCAGGCTCTGTTCAGATCCAGGGAGAGTGGTGAAAGGAGAGCAGGCATCACAAAGAGACCAATAGGCAGGTCCGCCTGGTGAACTGAGGCTATCAGACAAGATGGCCCTTCTCTCAGGTTTGGTCACAGTTGTGGCAGCTCTCAAACCACATTGGATCTTTCCAATCAGCACTGAAAGCCTTCCCACCTGGCCTCTCCTATGGATGCTTCTCTCAGCTGAGGGGTTCTCTGTTCTGTAGGAAGCCGTGGGAGACCATGTTCCCATTCTTCTGCTGGGCAATAAACTTGACAACGAGAAGGAGCGAGAAGTCCCCCGAGGCCTCGGAGAGCAGCTTGCCAAGGTAAGAACCAGCATTACCATCTCTCAGACTCCCAGAACCCAAGAGCCTTGGTGGGAACTTCTGGAAGTCCCTTGAGAAGGAAGCAAGATGAATGTCTCGGCATCACGGGAATAACCTGACTCCTACGCATTGAGCATTTTCCATAGAAAGACACATATCATCAGAAGGAGTTGGCTGAGGACCACTGGGCATGGGCAAATATCCTAAATCTCAATCCTTGGAATGTAGAATCATGAATTACATAACGATAGTGAGGTCACTTATTTCAATTCCCCCTGAGGCTTGAACCCCATCATCTGTGTCACTCCTGGATTACTCTCAAAGATGAAAAATTCTATCTATCTGCAGAGCAGTTTGCTCATGAGTCCTCCTTTCTGTCAAGATGGAGCCTCAAGATTAATTCAGGGCAGGCATTGGAAAGTCTACAATCAGCATCCGCCCCCTGGCCCAAGAATGGGACCAGCAGGGCCTAATGGAAACCAGGCCATGAGGCAGTGCTTGCTTGTTGCTGGGCATCTTTTTGGCCTCCGTTTGGTTTTCATGGAGCTGTGTATCTGGGAGGATACACAAGCATACTGGCCTACCCTGAGATTTTACAGTTCTTTGTGCACTTGACCTGAACAGGAAGTTATGAGCCTGGGAAAGGAGTGCAGGGAGTCAGACCCAAGAAGAAAGGATGGAGACCAGGCTGGCAGGTGTCTAGGTGAAGGGTCACCATGTGGTTACATGTCTACAATTCTGAAATCCAAAGCACTCTGAAGATACAAAGTTTCCTTAATGTTTCATCTGGCAGGAAAATCAGACTAGAACTGACATGGGGCTTTACCTCACTTTGAATGAATGAATATTCAAATGTCTCACTGAAGAAATGCTAATTTATTTGATTATAGAGTGCAGTCCCAGATCCCTTGAGGGCATTTTATAATATATAGTATATACATGCATTACCTTTCAAAATTCAAAAAATTCTGATTCCCAAAATATAGCTAGATCTAAAGATTTTGGTTAAGAAACTGTAGACCTATATTATTATTATTCCATTTTCTTTTCTTCTTTTCTCTTTTTGATATGTTAAAAAAAAGCAGTGAGACAGGAGTTGAGTGATTCATTCAAATTATCACACAACTCATCAGTGGTGGGATTGGCACTTGGAGCTGGAAGGCAAATCATGCCTTCCAATAATAGGTCCTATGCCCTTCTTCTCCCATCCCCACCCCCACCTTTAAAGTCTCTACTCTTTGATAGACTGACCCAGAGTCAGGGTCTGATAGAAGTGTGGACAGGGAAAGATGAGTCTGTGGACACACCATCCCAAACACACCGATCTCCCTGGTGTTGGAAGCTAAGCCGTCTAATTAGTGCTTGGATGGGAGACAGGGAGAGATGAAGCTGGGTGTAGCGGGCAGAGGATGGATCTGAGCCTGGGGAGGGGAATGGGAAAGCTGACTGCAAGCCAACTGCAACCACAGAAGCCTCCTCGCTCAACTTGTCTGGATCCCTACAAGTATGAGCTTCCAAAGAAAGAGCATCTAAAAGCCAGAGCCCAATGCCATCAGCATTATAATGAAGCAAGCACTCTTAGTGCATATGAGAACTGGAGTCTGGTGAGCCTTGGCCAAGGGCCCCCCATGCATGCAGCACAGACTGATGAGGTGATGGACAATTGTCCTGTGCCCAGTGCTGACAGCCTGAGCAGCCAGAATATTAATTTCCTGGTATAGAGGAGAACTCAGACTTGGAGTGCCTCATGATGTCTGCCTAAGGTCCACGGAACACCAGCATCCTGGGCAAAGCATGCTACTGGGAGCTCTGTCATTTACTAAATGTGTGACCTGGGCAAGCCACCTGCCATGGCCTCTCAGCCTCGGTTTCCCTTCCTGGAAAGTGAGAAGCATGGTGCCTGCCCTGGCCTTTGTGCCTCTGCCTGGGCCCCAGGGCTGGTGTGAACATGAAATGAGCACATCCAGTCTTGAGGGTGATTCAAGAAAGTCTAAAGTCCTAAGCAGCACACAGCTTTGTTGTTTTACAATTGTAATGGCTCACCCCAGAGAAACTCGTAGAACTTGCATCAGGCAGGGAGCCTGGGAGCCAGAAACCAACCACATTGGGGTGAAAAGGGGTGTGAAGAGTTGAAGGGTCTGCAGGAGGAGATGAGGGTGGTAGACAGAAGCAGACACCTCTCACAGTTAACTCTTACTCCCCCAATTCTCTCTGTTTTGTGATTCTAGGAAAATAATCTGATCTTCTATGAATGCAGCGCCCATTCTGGTCACAATACCAAGGAGTCCCTGCTCCATCTAGCCAGGTAGGAAGACAGTCAGCAAGTGGAGGAATCTTCTGACCAACCTGTGCCAGGCCTGATGGGGGCCTGTGTTCACCTCCACCCAAACCATACCCCTGGGCCCTCCCTCTGTGTGAGCTCCAGTGCTCTGAGTTCAGGCTGCGGGGACCACCGCCTTTGTGTGGGATTTCAGCCATCAGGTGCAGCCTTCTGAAGCACAGTAATGAAGAGAAAGGAAGCATCCTTGCCTGTCACCCCCATTGCAGTCTTCTTCTGAGTCTTAAAGGCTGCTTTTTTGCAGAGATTCTTTTTTAAATGCAAATGCTTTTGGGAAAGGTCATATTAGTGGTCCCTCAGTACTGGCTAATATCAAAGCAGGGATTAGTTGGTAGCCAGCTGGGAACAAGCCTGGGTTATAATAGGAGTTCCTGGGGTGGAGGGGGAGGAACCAGAGAGAGACAGGGCTGTGATGGAGACTCAGTCAGAGGTACCCACAGTCATGGTACTAAAAGGACCAGTCACATAGAAAGATTTGTTCCTTAAGACCCTGCCTACGCCAAATATTTAGAAAACAAAACCACACTGGGAGCCATTGTCAATATGTAGGCATCCATTCATTCATCTCTCCATCTGGGCATTCATTCCATTCCATCCATCCACCTATCCACCCAATAAATACTTAATAGTGCTCCTGTCACACTCAGCCCTCATGCTGGGGCATTTGAAATATTTGAATTTGAGTAATTAAGAACCCAGAGCACCTCTTCCATGCATTGGAGGTATTATGGATATGGTACGTACTCTGGGGAAAGTTCTAGAATTTCCTCTGCCTCTGACTCCCTGGGTAAGGCTCTCCGAGCTTTGTTGGTAATGTAGGAATATCAATCACCATCTCACAGGTTGTTGTGAGAATCAAAGGAGACAAAGAAGATGAAAGTATTTTGAGAGCATAAAACAGGGATAAGACGCTTACCATTATTTTTAATCCCTCACCTCCTACATTTCATCTGGAGCTGTGGCCACATGGTGCAGCCCTTCTGTAGAGTTAACAACCAATAAACCTATTTTCTGAGCCCCAACAGTGTGCCAATCATGGTGATAGGCTGTGGAGACACAGAGGTAAAGGTCAAAGCTCTGCCTTCAAGCACCTCATGCTTCGGTGAGGGGTATGGCCAAAAGCATTATGACTCTGGGTGATGGGGTTCCAAGAGAAAAGGCTCAGAGTCAAATCAAGTGAGAGTCAAGAGGGACTTTTAGAGAAGGTGTTTTGAAGAATATGTATTGATTAAACCCTTTGGCTTTACAATTAGAGTCACACTCTTGTCCTACCCACAGGAGACTTAAACACGTTGTCTGATTCTCTGGTGAAGTGGGGTGCTCTCTAAATTATTCCAAAGATCTGTATGCTATAAGGGTGCCTAGTCCATGCAGCCAGCCCCCAAACTTAGCAGCTTTTCTGCCACTGACACTGTTTCTTGCCTTCTCCCAGGTTCCTCAAGGAACATGAAGACACAGTAAGGATGGACACCATTCAGGTTGGTCGCCCTGCCAAGAAGAAATCCTGCTGTGGCGGATAGCAGGGACTATTTTCAAGGACCAGTCCCACAGAGCCTAAGATTTCAGGGCTACCCCAATCCTGCAAATGGGCTGCTGTGTGGCACCACCTGGCCAGGCCCGTGCAGAGCTATGTCTTTGTCCTAACTTGCCTCCCCCAAAGGAAGGAGGCACATGTGGTCAGGAATGACATTCTTAGAGCATTGTGGAGTCTATGCTCTGCTTTCTCTGCTAGACCCCAAATGCCTATAAACTTTTATTGTGTTTTGTTTTCCTCCAGCCTGCTTTCCTGGGGGAAAGAAACACAAGGGCTTCTTCCAGAAAAGCCACGATATGCCTTCTCCACCTCCCATCTCCTCCCCTTGTCCTTAGGAGCCTCTGTACTACAGTTGCCATGGCAACCATGCAGGGCAGACTTGCAGCTTCCTGTGGGCCAAAATGGACCACTTGGGCAAGGCCAGGGTGTCTTGTCTTGCTTTGGACCCTATTCTCCAGACGTCAAAGTGATGTTCTTGATGTGAACTTCATGGACTTCAAGGGCCCTGAGTTGCTGAGAGAAGCAAACCAGGAACCTACATTCTAAGCTGCCCCTCCAGCGCCAGCCCAGGGGCTCTGCTCTTTCCCTAATCTCAAACTTTGGAGCCTCTCAGTGGTCACAGTGCCCGCTGGCTCTACCCTCTCGAGCTCTCTGGAGCAGTGTCTCACAAAGAATCCACAGCCTTTCCTGCCACAGCTACCCTCGCCTCCAACCCTGACTCCAGGGTAGGCTGTGGGTGACAAATTCTTGACTGGAGTTAGGGAGTGGGCTTATTTCCTACTTAACTTTGAATAAGAGATGAAAAGAACCAAGGGGAAAACCATCTGCTGCTGAAAAAAGCGACCATTTCTGGAGGGTATGAATAAGGTCTATATAGCTATATAAAAGCCATTTTCTAAATGTTTCTCAAAATAGCTCTTCGAAAAACCGTACATGATGATTAACAGGGTAGATTGGCAGGCCGGCAGTGAGGCCCAACACTAGGTCCATAGTTACCGCCTTCATTATATTTTATTTTCCTTTATTCCAAGGGACTGCATGGCTGTGATGTTGACATTTTGCTGGTGTTTGAGAAGCAAACCGAGTGTAGTTGGTGGCTTTGACACAGGGCACTTGGACTGCAGGAACAATCAGGGCCCCTGTGGGGTTCCTTCGGCTGGGTGGCAGTGTATTCCCAGACGCTAGCCAGGCTCCAGCATCACTGGCTGGCTGTTGGGGTGCCGGCAAGGACATTTTTGCCCTGGGTGGCTGATTAGATAAAAAGGTCACAAAGATCAGTTATAAGTTCAGGGCTGCAGACTCAGGTCCTAGAGGAAAGTGGGTGGAACATAGTCAAGGGGAGCACACTGAGACAGAGGGCAGAAGGTGTCCACAGGCCTCCAGGAAGATGGTTGAAGACACCCCCACACACCAAATGGACGGGGTAGAAGCCACTAACTAGAGTTCCCAAGGATGTTGCTCCAGCCTCCTCCCCAGACCCCAAACACTCAGAACCCCTGTAGGTCTCCGGCAAGTGCCTCTTTGCAGTCTTCTCTCTCACTCATCCAGCACTTGTAGGGTGAGCCCATAGAGGTGCCAAACAATAATCAAGCCTGAGCTCCTGAAAATGCTCCCTAATCTTAGCAAGCTAGCTTCCTCCCTGGGCCCCCGCCTCTTCTAGAAAATGGAGGGAGGGGCTACTTGATGCTCCAGAGCTTCCTGCTCAGATGCGTACAGTGGCATATTCACTTTCCTTCATCAGTGGCCCCAGACCTCATCTGAAGAACTCACAGGAAACTCCTTTCCTAAGGGAAGGGCGGTGGTGGCAGCCTCATAAGTGAACTTTGGCAGGAAAGGGGGATTGTGGGACACCCAGAGGTGGACCTCAATACCTCTGTGTATGGGGCTGGGCAGTAGAAGGTGGTGAGGGTCATGGAGAGAGAAAACCAGGAGGAGGAGCAGGTTACCCCTGGGGTTCCCTAAGCCCACAGATGCCTTTATTCCAGGTCCCTTGTCCCTTTCCAGGTTACATTTTTCCCATACAGAGGAGGGTRTGAGCACACTGGTGCCAGGCCTTCTGGCATGTGGGGTAACTCCCATGATTCTTCACAGGTCCAGGCAGAGAAGCAGGGGCAGGGACACCTTTGCTGCTCCCTTCTCCAGCCTCACTGTAAAAGAGAAGAGAAGAGGGGGCAGCAGGGGACTCTGTGTAATACTTGTCCCCTGCTCACAACCTCCCCTCCTCCCATTTCTTTTAAGCTATCATGTGGGTCAGAGATACCTACATGGTGTCACCCACTGAGAGACTACTCAGAAGAACCTTCTGGCTCCAACCCCTTTGGTAGTGACCTTGACCTGAACCCAGTTTTCTCATTCACTTGTAGATTGGAGGTTTCAATGTCTACCTCACGGGGATATTTCAAATGCTTAAGGGGGTAATGGAGGTAAGGTTTTTAGCACAGTACCGAGTAGGTCTTAATAAGCCGAGTAGGTCTTAATAAGCCGGGTCAATTTGGGTTATCAACATTGAGTCGCTACCTAGCCTGTTGCCTTGTTTCAGTTTCAAATTTGGATCCAGCTAACAATTACCAAGCACCTACCCTGAACCGAGCCCTTTTACAAACACTACCTCAGTCAGTGTCTCTACCCAGCCCATTCCCTAGGTTTTGAGCTCAGAGCTGGCTTTGTCTCATGGCCTTCCTATCCCTTGCTCTTGTTTGTTCTCTGCCTAGCAGAGCCTGATGCATGATTTCAGCCCCAATCTATGGTTCTCTCCCTCTGGAGAGTTTTTTATCTTCATTTCTTCAAATATTCTTTCTACCTCTTTCTCCTTCTCCTTTCCTTCTGGAACTTTTATGTACATAACTGGCACTCTTGATGGTGTCCCTCAGGTTTCTGAGACTCTGTTCTTCCTTTTTCTTTGTGTCCCTCAGAGTGGCTGGCTAATCACAGTTAACCTATTTTCAAGTTCATTTATTCTTCCTTCTACCTAATCAAATAGGAATTTTATGCACATTTTAGTGCATTTTTCATTTCCTTTATTGGATTTTTCAACTCCAGAGTTTCTATTTGGTACCATATCATAATCATTCTGTCTTTATCGATGTTCTCTACTTAGTAAGACATTATTCTCATCCTTTCCTCTCATTCTTTGGACATGTCTTACTTTAGGTGTTTAAACATACTTTAGTTTATATTTAAAATCTCAAACCTTCCCTGGGCACAAATCAAGTTCTACTCACCATTCCCTGCTTCCTTTCTCACATTCTACAAAACACAACTGGGATCTGGTTCCATCACTTAACTCCACTTCTGACCACCTCCCCTAAGTCTCTTCTTTCTTCTGAATTGAAGAAGGGAAGAGGGCCTTGAGACCTGAGAGACCCTCCCTTCTACCTGAGCTTCTAGATGCCCTGCTGCCCTGCTGGAGGCGAGCTGCCCAGGGAGGTGCTCAGTCCCTTGGGGAAGTCAGGGGAGGACAGACATCCTCAGGCAGGACTCCCTGTGCTGACAAGAGCACCCTGCAAAGCTCTGCTCAAAAGCGATGGGTGTGGGAAGACAGCACACCAGATCTGAAGCTTGAAATGAAAAGGCAGTTTACTTCAACATAAATAAAAATTACAGTCCACAAGCATAAAAGTCCCAAGACTTATGTGGTATGTTCCTGCAGGTTGGAATTAAAGCCTCAACTTGGCTTCAGGGGGGGGCTGGCCCGGGAAGTACTGCCACCTCTCCTCCTTTCACCCAAGAATCAGAAAGAGACTAAACAAATTCAGTCAAAAGCCACAGGTCTTTCTTTATGGGTTATTCCTCCCTCCTTAAAGAGAGGGGTGATTGGCAGGATGCAAGCACTTTCGGAACGTCCAACACCCATTCCTACCTCTGTTGGTGTTTCTATTAATAGACCTATTAGTTATCAGCAATCGCAATAACGAAGAACATCATAACTCCACCTTTCACCCAATTCAGCGGAGCCAATTTAATCAAAGTGCCCTACTTAGGAGAACAGTGCTAGAAATGATGGGGGTTGGGAAACCATATGGTGCTTGGCAGACAACTGAAATCAATGTGGAAACTGAGGAKCACAGGCGAGGCTGTGTCATTTATCACTCTGGGGCCAGGGCTGAGTCAGGTCCAAGCACTGACCCTTGTTCCAAATTGGGACTTCATCAAGGCTTTGGCTAGGATTCAAAAGTGGTACTTGGAGACCCTTGTCATAGCACCAGAGACTTGTCTTCCTACAAATGAGGACTCCTAGGACCAATAATGCCTGTACTATCATAATGAATTATGGCTGGATCTATCTGACCTATAAAAATAAATACTGCTCATAAAAACACTGCACCACTAAGCAAAAATGTCTGAAGAATGCAGAGAGAATGGGATTGCATTCTTTTAAAACTTGAGAACAAGAATTGAAACATGTGGATATGGAACTCAGCAGGATTTGAGAAAGGTAGGGGTGGAAGTGGGATTCACTGAGCAGGTGCAGCACGGCATCAAAGGCAGAGCATTGGGTGTGGTCCAACAACAGGTGCACAGGCTCCTGACCCCTTTGTAACTAGTGGCTAGTTGTGCCACTCTGCAGAATGGTTATGCAGACATGCTGCCTACAAGGCTCTAAAGAGCAAAAGAATGGACTAGGAACTGGATCCAGTTACGTAGGGCAGGAACATTCATCTCTGAACCTCACGTTTGGTCCAGTGTCTAGCAAACTGTGTTTGCCTGACAGGAGTTGAGAGCAGAGCATCATTTCTTTAGAACAAGGTCGCCACCCCACCCCACCCCCAAAGGCTGGAGCTGCTTCACTGGAACCCCAGGGTCTCCAAAACTGGACAACTGAGTCTCTGTGGCTTGGGCAGACCAATCGAGTTTTGCCTCTCTGGTTCAAATGAGGTGCTGTCTCTGCTTTTTGCAAGAACATCCTGGGGAGCATTCCAGCTGCTGCGATTCAATTACCTTCAATGTGATGCCCATCAAAGCACCCTCTCTCACCCCCCTTCAGTCTCCCCAGCTGCTGCCAGTGGCAATATATTATCTTCAGGCAGCCAATGACTCAATTTAACTTGGATTCCATGCCTCTGTGCATACAAGATGCATCCCTTCCCAGTTCTCTTTCTTCCTGGTGTGGAACCAGCTGTACGTACCCAATCGTGCCTCTCCCAAAAGCTTTCTCTAGCCTCTA